GCTACACAATCATGTGGAAGATCACTGAATTTACAATTGTCAATGCTTGACAATCAACCAAAAGGTCATTGCTAAAGAAGTGGCTGTTCACACAGTGCTGCATGTAATAATAATAATAATAATAATAATAATAATAATAATAATAATAATAATAATAATAATAATAATGTAAAGTTGAGTGAAAGGGAAAAGTTTGGTTGAAAGGGGGCTCAGAAAACAGAATAAACTCAGGCTTGATGCGATTCTGAAGCAAAGCTTATTCAAGGATTTTAGGGAGATTTACAGCTGAAGCTTGAATGTGTGCTTATAGACCAAGTTTTCTCGTTATTTTTGCAGTGGTTTTTAGTCACAATGAATGCTTTTTGAGTCCATCTCTTGGAGGAAAAAGCTCTTGTGCTCATGTTTCAGGATCTAGAAGTTAGCCAGAGGAGAAGCGAGCTTTAGATGAAGGGCTGCCACAAATGATTATTTTAGTTTTTTGGGGAATTAGTTAACTAATTTTGTCATGCAAGTATCGCATATTACACCAGGCTGCAGCTGCTCTGATAAACCCATCATGAGGTTCTAGTTTTAAGCGTGATCTGTTTGTGCCATCTAAATATAAAGACAAGATGATAGCTTATCAAACAACACGGGTCTCGTGTCCATCACCAGCAATTGCCTCGGTCAGAACATTTGCTTGCCAAAGTGTGCACGTTGGCTTCGTCACAAACTCATTAATTAAACAGAGTCTCTTTTGTAATGTAGCGCAATACAATAAATCATTAGCATTTGTAACGTTACAGCAAATATGTGACATATGTTTGCTAAAGGTAATGGAAATCACCATCATTGTTGTTGCTGCAGCTATAAATAGAAGTGACTCCATGCTGATTTTAGCAGCCAACGAGACATAATTAGCTTACTGAGGAAGCTGTTCGTTCTCCGCCATGATGTGCTTCCTTTTAAGGAATTCGTGCATCACCGTTGAGCTGCCATGAAAGTTCCATTTTGCAGATTTTGAACTGTACGTGCTTCTCTTTTATCTTTGTAAAACGCTTCCAAACCTTTGAGCTCCGTTGCCTGCTCTCCGTGTTTTGTTTTTCTGGTGATGCGACATCTCACCTGGACGGCCACTACCACTAGCAGTGAGATTCAGTGAGTGTGTTGGTAGACACTTTACCAACTTCCAATGAGACAGCACTCAATTAAAAACACAGAAGTAAAAAAAAAAGTTTTACTTTTTTGTTGGCATCATGGTGGACCTGGGAAAAGTCCCACTGCTTGCAGGAAGACTTATAGAAAAACTACAGAGGGGTGACTAGGGGAGACCTGAGGGAGACCTGGAGGGAGCTGGGAACAAAAAGGGGCACAGGAAGCTTGAGTACACATGAGAGGGATCCTAGAGGGACACCTGGAAGGGTTGGAGATGTAAAGGGGCACAGAAACCTAAGGGGAGAACCTAGAGTGGGGCTAGGGAACACAAGGAGGCACATGAGGAACACAAGGAGACACATAAGGGAAGCCTAGAGGGGGCTGGAGAACGCATGAGGGGGACACAGGACGCAGACCTTGACAGATGCAGACATTCATGCAAAAGAAGCCCTGATCAATAACCGAGAAGATTTACTGAGCACCATATGGAATACTGTGTGGCAGGGAGATATGTTTTGGGGTCCTATGTAAAGTTCTAATTATCTGAGATGAGCCTAAATATTCCTAATTATTTGTGTAAATGCACTTATTCACCTGATCAGTAGTGCAGGTGAACCATCTGCATTCCCATTGTTAAAAGAGGAGTGCATTCATCTGGTTATTCTCACCTACATTTTGACCTAAAATGTCTGATCGCTATTTGCAACCAGCTATGAATATTTGAAATTATGTATTTTTAAGAGAAGTAAAATATTTTAGTACTCACAGCTTTTCTGATAAAATATGTATTTAGTTTGTTTCTTTAACAGCAAGTGACTTTCATTGGGTCGTGGTGAAGCTTCAATCAAATCACCTTACAAAAGAAAAAAACATCTGATCTAATTAAATCTCTGAACACTATCTACTCACACAAATATGCAAGTGAAAATAGAGAATTATTGTTTAGAACAAATGAGTGTGTAGTTTCTGAGAAGGCTAATATTTTCCCTCAGGTGCTTTTAAAAACTGAACTCCGGCTAAAAATAAAAGGAAAATTAAGCTTCCAGGAAGATAATTGATATAAATAAAGTAATGAGTTATTTTCTGGGAATCATCTATGTTTTGGGTGGGGGATGATAATTATTTCCACATGCTTAATACTTGGTAGATGAGAGAAACGGTTAATGTATTCTCTTTCCAAAATAAGTAAGCACATAGGAGTAAGAAACAGGAGTCTTTTCATGTTGGAATTATCAACACTACACAAGTGACATTGGGTTGGCTTGTGTTACCCAGCAGTTAACTTTGAACTTTTCAGCAACATCCCCAAACACTTTTGGTGCACAACACACACGCGCACACGCACGCACGCACACACACACACACACACACACACACACACACACACACACAGTTACGTCCCTTCCTGAAGGTCTAGGAGGATGAGGGGACTAACACAGGAAAATAGGTGTACGAGAGTGTGTGTGGATAAATAACGAGGTGGTGAGAGTAAAACCAAAATGATTTATTAACAAAGGGGTGTCCGTGTCTAAACGGCAAAATAGGGCTTAATGATAACGGTGATTAAACAAAGGTGGAAACTGAAAACATAAGCAATAATGGCTTATGAAAATGGTTTTCTGCCAAACGTAAATCACAACCACCTAACTGAAAATATCCCTGGCTCAAAAGTCCAGTGGGGATAAAAGCCACCAACCTAAATAAACTGACGCTCTGTCAGATAAATCCTTCTAATGAGGATAATTAAGCCAAATCCCTATTGACAAACCCTTAGCAAATGCCTTAAAAGTTAGTCGTAGCAGTGAGTGTAAACAGAGCTCAGGAGAAATTCAGATTATTTCTGGATCTCTGTGGAAACAACCATAAATGATACCGGAAAGATTTAGCCTTAGCAAGAAATGTCAATGAGCTCGGGAGAATCATTGACTAATTCCAGATCTCCCCTAGACTGTCTGCTTCACTCCTCTTTTAAAGTCCTGGGAGCTGCTGCATTGCTGATTCAGATCAGCTGCGGTCTTCTCTGGCGTGCCTCTCTCTGAGGTCCTGAACTGGTGCTGGGGCGCTGGAGAGGGTGAGCAAGCCGTTTCTGGCGCTGTCCCTGGTGCTGAATCCTTGGCAGGGGGGACAACAGGCTCAGGTAGAGATGAGAAGATGGACCGAGGGGACGAGGTTTGTCACACTCTCTCTCTCTCTCTCTCTCTCTCTCTCACACACACACACACACACACACACACACACACACACACACACACGTCTTGTTAGTAGTTACGAGGACCTTTGTTTACTTCCATTAATTTTAGGGACTGCAATATGCTTAACCCTAACAATTACTGTTTTTTTTTCATATCCCTGAACTCAACTAAAACTCAATCCAACTAGTAGAGCTCAGTATCATTGTAACAAACTCAGAACTAGACAACATATCCTTTCAACTAATGTCCTCACTTTATTGCTTAGATGTGGTCAGTAGAAATGGTCAGTTTTTCATGTACAGTTTTACCCCTTTAGTATCTCGTCATATGGAGACAGGAGTCTACATTTGTGGCCTTTAATCTGCCAGATCCTGCCATTCCATCAGCTGGAGTATGGGCCTCTCTGCAGCTCAGAACACGTGATAACATAGTGTCAACAAACTGTTCCCTTCTCAAGGTTCTTCTGTGACAAGCCTGCCTGGTTATCTAGGCCGGACTGGACTGATGTAAGAGTGACTATTTTCAGCTCATATGAGTTAATCATTCATGAAATGGAATAATAATAATGTCTTCATTAATCTGTGCTTAAATCAATAAGGTTGATTGATCTGTGCTTGAATTACTGCAAGTTTGAAATGAATGTATTATTACATTGAATGATTTATATATACATATAGTAATCAGTAAGTCGGGCTCGTTCCCAGTGAGAGTTGGACTCTGTTGGGTAATTTGATCAATCCAAGATTACCTCATTTATTAAGCAGACACACAAAAAGATAAATGCACACACATTCGAGGTTCTCACAGACTCTCAGACAGGAAGACACTCCAGGTGCAATTCTAAAACAACAAAGCTGTCTGGACTTTCTCAAGGGAGTTCTACTGATAAGGAGAATACGACTGGTACCAGGGCAAGGTCAAACCTCTCAAAACATCCTCCCTGTAAGAGCTGAATTGGCCTGTTCTCTATTACAGTTTTTTTCGATTGCTAAAACACGTTTTTCAAAACTGTACGTTTCTTTCAAAACTGCACACACAAAACCACAAACATAACACGAATTGCTAAACCGTGGCTTCCCTTTGCAACAAAATCCTGCCATCACATATCGTAACATGTTCCCCAAATGGAACACATGTTTTCATTGGTAAACACAGCCACATTTTCACATGACACACACATACCATTCATTGCTTAAACACAAGTAGCCTTTGGGTGAACACTACCAAGCATGGAAAGAACACTGAAGAGCAAAACTGAAAACACAATTGTCTAAATGGAACATAATGAATTACACACTGAATGCATGACAGTGCCCACTTTTCTTTGAGACAAACATTAGACATCACACAAATTTTGAGACAAAACATTTTATTTTTACAGTCCCCCCCGCCCCCACACACACACACAGATTATGAGACAAAACATTTTATTTTTACAGTTACCCCCCCTCACGCCCCCACCCCACCCCACAAATTTTGAGACAAAACATTTTATTTTTACAGTCCCCCCGCCCCCCCCCCCCCCCACACACACACACACACACAGATTATGAGACAAAACATTTTATTTTTACAGTTACCCCCCCCCCTCACGCCCCCACCCCACAAATTTTGAGACAAAACATTTTATTTTTACAGTTACAGTAACCACCTCCACCCCCTCTCCCATTCAAGCATAATCATGGGGCATCATGCCTCTGGTCTCTGTCTAGCCAGAGGGCCTCATCAACATCACAGGCGATGTCCTCCTGGTCCAAACAGCTCTGGAAGTACTGCCTCGAGTGCCTCATGAAGCCCTGACAGGCCTCAAAGGCCACATCTCTACAAGCCTCCTCCATGGCTTGAAGCAGTGGGACCCGGCTCTGTGGATTCCTTTCGTACACCTTCCACCTCCAGGCTGATAAAAACTCCTTAGTGGGATTGAGGGAGGGGGAATAAGGTGGAAGGTATAAAATGGAAAACCGTGGGTGGTCCTGAAACCACTCATAAACCTGGGTAGCCTTGTGGAAACTTACTTATATGCTGCAGTCCCTGACTGCAAATTGCTCACCAGACATGAAAGTTTAGAGATTTGAATATTTGTGTGTTGTTGATTGAAGCTTTGAGAGTTTGTTTGACAAGTGTGTGTAAACGTGAAAATTGTGTGCTGTGTTTTGACAGCATGGTGATGTGAAATTGACATCAGAGTGTAAAGGAGGACAATCAGAGAGCTAATATGATAAGGCAATCTTAAGTAGTGATACATTGAGTCAGGTGATTGGGAATTGAAGTAGAGGTTGTGAAATTCGTGCCTCATTTTTGCTTTTTGAGTATTAGCAATCGAAAAAAACTGTAACAATTAATGGATGAAGCTTTGTTCAGAACACCAGATGACATTGATAAAGGTAATATCAGTTTTTACCCATCAGACTCCACTAAGGCTGCCCTTTGTCACTGATTCTGTTCATAGCCTTTATGGACAGGATTTCTAGGTGCAGGTGTAACCCTGGTTAACATAGCTCCCAATAAATAAAAGCCTGTTAATAGAAACAGTCAAAAGAAATATATTACAGGTTACAAATAGTCAATAAATGGATCTTAATGGTTAAAACGACTCATTAAAAACATCAGTAGTTTTATATTTATTTTATTTGTGTTTAAAAACATGTTAAAAGTTTAAGAACTTGCAAATTCATGGGTTTTTATGTTAATTCAGAAAAAAAAGCAAAAACATCTGTTCAGACTCTTAATTTGAAGGGCACGTTGCAGCGTGACTCATGATCCGCTACAGCCAACCGGGTAGTTGTTTCACTTTGGCGCTGCGGAGGAAGAGATGCAGACAGTCCTTGCGGAGCTGCTGCGTAAATGAGAAAAAATATATATTAAATACCAACCTAGAAGTCCACGTAAAGCCATTTTGAGACTCTGGAGAAGGTATTTCTGTTTCCTGACCGGCTGTGCCTTGGTGATGTTGTGAACATAACTGAACGGGACTTGGTGAGTTCAGTAACTGTATTTTATTTGATAAAAGAAATGTTTTGTTGTATTATATTGCTAATTTCATGTAAATGGAAAGCCAAGGTAGCAGATTTCTGTTGTTTAATGTTAAAATGGTTGATTTCAGCATTGAATTTGTGCTTACTCGACACACAGGCGGTAGTTCATAGGCCGTTGATGTGTTTTCAGGGCGCCATGTTGGCACCACCTCGTTGAGGACTAAATGAGCTAAAAAAACAGACTTTTACTGTTACCTAAGGGCTATCTGTGTGTTATTTTTAAATGTTTATGCACCTTATTCTATCGTTATGGTAGGCCATTAAGGTTTGGACCAGGAAATGCTGAGCTAGAACCGGAGTTGGATTTCCTAAGCGTGAAACAAGATGGCGAGCCGCCCTCGGACCCCTTGAACTGTGCCTTGCAGAAGGAGAAAAACTCCCCCTGCTGGACGTTGCGTTCTTTCACTGGAATCTGGTAGGATTTATCCATACACCTCTGCAGAAGAACGCTGGACTCACAAAGCACGGGATAACCATTCAGAATAATTCTGGGATTTATGGTTAAAGGAGAAATACATTTTTTTTTGTTTTTTGTTTAAAGGGTTTGTTCAGCCTTTTGCTGAATTGTTTTAAGTTTTTACATTTATGCTGTTTATTTTTTTATTTTGGTCAACCACACATTTTAATGCTGTCATGGTATTAATGAAAATGTAAATTTTGTGGGTGAAACCAAATAGGAAATGATTGAAATTTAAAGGTGAACTAAACCAAAATTAAATTAAATTTTGGAATTAAAGAACTAAACTAGATTTAAAATAACACAGTGTTAACTTAAATAGATTAAAGAACAAACTTGAACTTAGAACTTGAAATTAATAAAAACAATAACCTAGGTTGAAAATAGCATCCTTTTAAAGCCAAATTAAAGGTTTTGAGACAAATAGGATAAACGGGAACTACTGGCTCCTCCTTGAACCGTCACCTTATCGTGGTGGAGGAGTTTGAGTGCCCTAATGATCCTAGGAGCTATGTTGTCTGGGGCACTTGGTGCCCCTGGTAGGGTCTCCCATGACAAATTGGTCTTAGGTGAAGGGTGAGACAAAGAACGGTTCGAAGGATCTTTCATGGCGGTTAAAACGAAGAGTCGGAGTACCCGGCCCGGAGGGTTACCGGGGTCCCACCCTGGAGCCAGGCCTGGGGTTGGGGCCCGTGAGCGAGCGCCTGGTGGCCGGGCTTTCGCCCATGGGGCCCGGCCGGGCCCAGACCGAACCGGATACATGGGCTCGTCCAACTGTGGACCCACCACCCGCAGGAGGAACATGAAGGGTCCGGTGCAATGCGAATCGGGTGGCAGACCAAGGCGGGAGCCTTGGCGGTCCAATCCCCGGACAAGAAAACTAGTTTTTGGGACATGGAACGTCACCTCGCTGGCGGGGAAGGAGCCGGAGCTTGTGGCAGAGGTTGAGCGGTACCGGCTAGATATAGTCGGACTCACCTCGACACATTGCATTGGCTCTGGAACCCGAGACCTGGAGAGGGGTTGGACACTCTACTTTGCTGGAGTTGCTCCGGGTGAGAGGCGGAGGGCTGGGGTTGGCCTTTTGTTAGCCCAGAGACTCTCTGCCTGTGTGTTGGGGTTTACCCCGGGGGACAAGAGGGTAGCTTCCTTGCGCCTTCGGGTCGGGGAACGGGTCCTGACTGTTGTTTGTGCTTATGGGCCAAATATCAGTTTAGAGTACCCACCCTTTTTGGAGTCTCTGGGACGAGTGCTAGATAGTGCTCCATCAGGGGACTCCATTGTCCTGCTGGGGGACTTCAATGCTCACGTGGGCAATGACAGCTTGACCTGGAGGGGTGTGATTGGGAGGAACGGCCCACCTAATCAGAACTCGAGCGGTGTTTTGTTATTGGACTTCTGTGCAAGCCGCAGTTTGGCCATAACGAACACTATGTTCGAACATAAGGATGCCCACCGGTACACTTGGTACCAGGGCAGCCTAGGTCACAGGTCGATGATAGATTTTGTAGTCGTATCATCTGACCTGCGGCCGTATGTTTTGGACACCCGAGTGAAGAGAGGGGCGGAGCTGTCAACTGATCACCACCTGGTGGTGAGTTGGATCAGATGGCAAGGGAACATGCCGCGTAGACCTGGCAGACCCAAACGCATGGTGAGGGTCTGCTGGGAACGCCTGGCAGAAGAACCTGTCAAGACGGTCTTCAACTCCCACCTCCGGCAGAGCTTTGACCACGTCCCGAGAGCAGTGGGGGACATTGAGTCCAAGTGGGCCTTGTTCCACTCTGCGATTGTCGAGGCGGCTGTTGCTAGCTGTGGTCGTAAGGTGGCCGGTGCCAGTCGTGGTGGCAACCCCCGTACCTGCTGGTGGACACCAGAGGTTCGGGGAGCCGTCAGGCTGAAGAAGGAGGCCTACAGGGCGTGGCTGGTCTGTGGGTCTCCGGAGGCAGCAGACAGGTACCGGATAGCCAAGCGGGGTGCAGCAGTGGCAGTTGCCGAGGCAAAATCTCGGGCGTGGGAGGAGTTTGGTGAGGCCATGGAGAAAGACTATCGATCGGCTCAAAAGAGGTTCTGGCAAACTGTCCGGCGCCTCAGGAGAGGAAGGCAGCAACTCGCTCACACTGTTTACAGTGGGGATGGGGAGCTGCTGACGTCAACTGAGGCTATAGTCGGACGGTGGAAGGAATACTTTGAGGAGCTCCTCAATCCCACCAATGCGCATTCCGAGGAGGAACCAGAGCTGGGAGGCCTGGGGATGGACTGTCCAATCTCGGGGGCAGAAGTTGCTGAGGTAGTCAAACAACTACACAGCGGCGGAGCCCCGGGGGCGGATGAGGTTCGTCCTGGGTATCTCAAGGCTATGGATGTTGTAGGGCTGTCATGATTGACACGTCTCTACAACATTGCGTGGTCATCGGGGGCAGTTCCTAGGGAGTGGCAGACCGGGGTGGTGGTCCCCATCTTTAAGAAGGGTGACCTGAGGGTGTGTTCCAACTATAGGGGGATCACACTCCTCAGCCTCCCTGGAAAGGTCTACTCCAAGGTACTGGAGAGGAGGGTCCGATCGATAGTTGAATCTCAGATAGAGGAGGAGCAATGTGGTTTTCGTCCTGGCCGTGGAACTGTGGACCAGCTCTATACCCTTGCAAGGGTGATGGAGGGGGCATGGGAGTTTGCCCAACCAATCCACATGTGCTTTGTGGATTTGGAGAAGGCTTATGACCGTGTCCCCAGGGGCACCCTGTGGGGGACGCTCCAGGAGTATGGGGTGGGTGGCTTTCTGTTAAGGGCCATTCAGTCCCTTTACCAGAGGAGCGTGAGTTTGGTCCGCATAGCCGGTAGTAAGTCGGACCTGTTCCCAGTGAGGGTTGGACTCCGCCAGGGCTGCCCTTTGTCACCGGTTCTGTTCATCACTTTTATGGACAGAATTTCTAGACGCAGCCGTGGTGTGGAGTGTGTCGAGTTTGGTGGCAGGAGAATCTCGTCTCTGCTTTTTGGGGATGATGTGGTCCTCCTAGCTTCATCCAGCTCTGACCTTCAGCTCTTGCTGGGTAGGTTCGCGGCCGAATGTGAAGCGGCTGGGATGAGGATCAGCACCTCCAAATCTGAGACCATGGTTCTCGACCGGAAAAGGGTGGCTTGCCACCTCCGGGTCGGGGGAGAGGTCCTACCTCAAGTGGAGGAGTTTAAGTATCTCGGGGTCTTGTTCACGAGTGAGGGTAGGAGGGATCGGGAGATCGACAGGCGGATTGGTTCGGCGTCTGCAGTGATGCGGACGCTGAGCCGATCTGTCGTGGGGAAGAGGGAGCTGAGCCAGAAAGCCAGGCTCTCGATTTACCGGTCGATCTACGTCCCAATCCTCACCTATGGTCATGAGCTTTGGGTAATGACCGAAAGAACGAGATCGCGGATACAAGCGGCCAAAATGAGTTTCCTCCGTAGGGTGGCCGGGCTCAGCCTTAGAGATAGGGTGAGGAGCTCGGACATTCGGGAGGGACTCGGAGTAGAACCGCTGCTCCTCCGGATCGAAAGGAGCCAGTTGAGGTGGTTTGGGCATCTGGTCAGGATGCCTCCTGGACGCCTCCCCGGGGAGGTGTTTCGGGCATGTCCTGCCGGCAGAAGGCCCCCGGGTCGACCCAGGACACATTGGAGAGGTTACATCTCCAATCTGGTCCGGGAACGCCTTGGGGTCCTGCCGGAGGAGCTGGTGGACAAGGCCGGGGAGAGGACGGCCTGGAGCTCCCTAGTTGGGATGCTGCCCCCGCGACCCGGACCCGGATAAGTGGAGGAAGACGAAGACGAAGACGAAGGGAACTACTGGACAAAAAAGGGGGAAATTGAAATATCTTATTTCCTTGGTGTTAAATGTTTTATGTCTATTGTGAATTGTATGTCAACTGTCTATTTTCTGTTTTTCTAAAAATAATAAGCCGGTGATTTAAACTTATTTTCTGGTCTGTGGGTTTTTTATGACAAGTCGCCTTCATTACTGCTCTAGTAGTCGGACCTAACTGGTCCTAGTATACTGTAACGACTCCAGAAGTGTTACACAGCTAAGGTGTGGAAGGCATCCGTTTTAGTGGCCTGAGGATCAGGTCGCTGCTTTTTGCAGATGATGTAGTCCTGTTGGCTTCATCAGAACATGATCTTCAGCTTTCGCTGGAGCGGTTCGCAGCCGACTGTGAAGCACCTGGGATAAGAATCAGCTCCTCTAAATCTGAGACCACGGTCTTGATTCGGAAAAGGGTAGAATGCCTTCTCTGGGTCAGGGATGAGGTCCTGCCCCAAATGGAGGAGTTTACGTATCTCTGGGTCTTGTTCATGAGTGAGGGAAAACTGGAGCGTGAGATCTATAGGTGGATTGGTGCTGCATCTGCAGTGATGTGGGCGTTGTACCGGTCTGTCGTGGTGAAGAGAGAGCTGAGTCAGAAGGCGACGCTCACGGTTTACCGGTCGATCTACGTTCCTATCCTCACCTATGGTCATGAGCTTTGGGTAGTGACCGAAAGAATGAGATTGCGGATACAAGCGGCCGGAATGAGTTTTCTTCGAAGAGTGGCTGGGCTCTCCCTTAGAGATAGGGTGAGAAGCTCGGTCATTCAGGAGGGGCTCCGAGTAGACCCTCTGCTCCTCCACATCGAGAGGAGCCAGTTCAGGTGGCTCGGGCATCAGGTTAGGATGCCTCCTGGACACTTCCCTGGTGAGATTTTCCGGGCACGTCCAACCGGGAGGAGACCTAAAGGTAGACCCAGGACACGGTGGAGGGTCTATGTCTCTCACCTGGCCAGAGAACGCCTTGGGATTCCCCCGGAGGAGCTGGCCCAAGTGGCTGGGGAGAGGGAAGTCTGGGCCTCTTGCCTTAGGCTACTGCCCCCGCGACCCAACTCTGGATAAGCGGATGAAAATGGATGGATGGATGGATGGTAATCAGTAATGATTGATATGACAAGGCAATCATCACCTGCACTCAGACACAAGGACAAATTAGAGTTAAGTTAAACTCATGACACATAGATACTTCTTTACCCCAATCAGAGCATCCGGTATCCGAAAGAAGGTGTAATGTTCTGAGATTCTTGGTAATATCCCTTAACATGGCATGTTCCGATTGGACAAGAATTCATAACATGAGAATATTAAAACAGAGCTCACTGCTCGGTGACTCAGTTCTAGAGAAAAGCTGCGGAACGGCCATCCAGAGTGAAACCTCTTTAACCCAGAGCATTTTGACAAGCTGACAAAACCCTGCTAGAAGCTGCCTACTGCTGATACAGCATACGGTTCCTGCAGAACAAAGCTGATCCTGTTCCGACTCCCTAAGAGTCCTTCTAGACGCAAACAGTTCCATCCATCTGTTGTGACCCGAAAACATCTATGGACTGGAGAGTCGGCGCTGCGATTTTTCTATAAACCTCAGTGCCCAGAGGTCATCCGACCTCCCTGACCATTGTATCCACGAAGAGGGTCTTCCAAAGGGTGAGGTAGACACAGCACGATCACGTCTGATCTGGCTTTGATAAGAATCAACTTCCTAGTTAACGCAGACCAAATTCTTGTATTTTTACACCCAGAACTCAGTTCTTCTAGATATGAAAGTTCTGATAACCTCACATTCACCTATAGTCACCATACATCACATTCCATCCACCTAGATCCATCCATCACAGTAAATATTAGTTAACGTGTCGTGTTTTTAATTGTTTGGAAAATAAATTCTTACTTTTTATAAACCTGACTCACTACTTGAATCAGTACTAAGCGTTCTACAATCTCTGGATAAACAAAGAATTCTAAATCTTCTGGTTAAACAAGACCAATCAGACTGGATTTCCATATTTAAATGGAAATTAACATCACATTGGTCAAAGTGTAGGGTAGTTTATTAAGCTTCAAAAGCACCCAAAGACATACATAATTACTCTCTCTACATGTGTAACAACAGTCCTCAGTAGGTAGTGTTGACACACACACACACACACACACACACACACACACACACACACACACACACACACACACACACAAATGTATATTTAAATTCTAACTGATGTCAAGATGAAAGGAAATTGTCAAAAACATCAACATGATGAAGTCAGTTCATTTTATCATTAGTTTGTTTCTACCTCTTTTTGAAACCAGATCCTTTTTCCCATTTAACTTTTCTAAAATTCAAGCTTATTTTTCTTCCCATTATACTTCCTTCAGTTGCTTATTCCTTATTTCCTTCTTATATCTTTCTGTTTCTCACATCTCCTAAATTTCATAGACATATTGACTTACAAACCAGCTTTCCACCATTTTTGTCTCCATCATGCTCATTACTGCCCTTTAATACAAGCTTTTCTTCCAGACCTATTTTGTTATTTGTCTATTTTTTTTGAGTCAGGCGTACTCAGGCCTGACTCCAAAAATAATAAATGTGTTATAATGAAAAGGGAAGTAAAATATATCTCTCCTAATGGAAGCAGAAAGGTGGAATGACCACACCAACATCAATGCAGCACTATCAAAGCCAGAAAACGAAATGCAAGATGGATGGAGGTGGATGAACACATCATCCTATGAGCCATGATTAGCTCTAGAACATGTGGCACTTTGTATCTCACCTTTGAAAAGAGACAGAAAATAACAACCTGATGTTAAAATGTGAGTCATTTTTCACTTGGAGAAATGTATCAGGGAGTGAATAAGCTTATGCCAGGATACCAATGAAACAGGGTTGCAAAACAGTCAAGAACCTCCTGATGAGTCATTATCATCATGAAGTAAAAAGTCACCTTTGCACGCATAAAGAAAAACTAATTCCTGCAAAAGCATTTGAATAAAACAAGAGGTGCCGTAGAGGATGGCACCACACAATCAACGTGATTGTCTTTTAAAATAGTCTGTTATCTCTGTCTACATGCATTTATAATGTCAGCTTCATGGCTTCATAATATCCAAAATACTGAAGTGAACTTTTATATGTATGTGCATGCAAATAAAAAAAACAAACATTGGTGGCAGATAAACATGTTATTTGTACTTGTGACACAATTTTACTTTTCTTGCAATAATTTTTAGAGTTTTCAATTCAAACTTTAGGTTTACAAAAAGCATGTTCCTATTCCTTATTAATACAATAACATTTTAATCACCATTGCTGAGCAAATTTTAGTCTGCAACTCTGAAACATAGTCTCAAGCCTGTTTAAGTAAAACGTGCCAAAAATGTTAATTATTTCATCATATTTCTAGTCAAACACAAACATTTTTCAGGAGAAATACAGATTATAAACGTGTTCACATTATGAATGTATTAAAAATAGCGTCATCACTCGTAATTCTAATCATTTACTTCTGCAATTTGCAGTTTTGGCGACAGGGCATGCAAATCTGTTTTCAGATGCACTATCC